GGGGGGGGGGAGTACGCCGTCTGACAGTATCATTAAAGGCTCGGTGACAACCGTGTTGCCCGCACCGGCGGGGATTACGGGGGTGGCTATAGAATTTAACGAAGCGTTGCAAACGGGTCGTAAGTTTAAGCCTCGCGCGTAAGGCGGCGAGCGGTACGTTTGCGCCAACGTGTAAATAATGCGACGCCCCACGTCATGGCAAAGTGCAATGTGCAGCGCGTGCATTCGCGCTACCTCCGTCCGTGTGTTTGAATCCGCGGCGTGGTTACCTCACGTCGACGTCGTCCCTATCTCCGTATCTTTCACGAGATGGAACATACGACAGCGGCGAATTAAGATTAAGTGCTCCTTCAACTCGACGTATTCGATATGCACATAAGATGCATCCATGAATCGCGCGCGCTTTTTGCCGATTTGGCGCATCGAAGTGGGTCACGGGAACGGTATATATTCGACGGCAATTCGAGATATTCCGACAGCCGTGACAGAACGCGATCCAGAAAGAGGACTTTTAAAAGACACTTACGGTATATCGCGTGTGTCAACACCGTATCGGGAGATTCGCAACGGGACGGCCCGATACACAGCAAAAAGGGAGAGGGAGATAAGCGCGAGCGTTAGTTATTAAAAAGTCTATTTTATTCTCGCGATCCCCGCAATCCGATGGAAGCCGTGCCGACGTGACGCGCGCGCGGCTTCGGGCATAACAAGTCGCTCAAAGTCGACACCCTGACGTATTGCGGCATTAATGCCGTCGCCTTTTCCGCCCCCTCAGCCGCGCATTATCCCATCGCGTTTATTACCGCGCGCTTCCGCGGCCTCTCATGGCGGATGCATGCACGCGTACGAGTACGCTCACGACTCGCAGTATGTACGTGATGCATCTGTATGCTCCTTCTCTCGTCGCATACATGCCTCTGTCTCTCTGGAACTGTTGCGAAACGTTCCGCGTCTGAACACGGTAATGTAAGTTGGAAGGCGAGTGCGTGGCCGTGCGCGCGAAGGTGCCGCTAGGGACGTGCGATTTATGAAATTGTGTATCGCGATGCGATCTTTTTTAAGAATCGCAATGAATGTGACACATCGCATCACAATTTTCTATCGCAAATATAATTTTCCGCGTGTAATTTTGTATCGCAAACGCGATTTTTAATCATAAGGGAACGTGATGAGAAAGGTAATATTTAAATAAATGTTAAATATATTGAAAGTAAATAAATCAATCCTCTCTTCGTATTATATCAAAATATTCTTTGAAATGTCTACTATAAGAAAACACAAGTTTTACTATGAAAGAATGGTTAAAAATGAAAATCACATTTTTAAATGTATAAATTTGGATTAGATAGTATAAAATATCATAGATTGTCGCGTGATATTTACACAAATACTTAACTAAAATGACAAATGATTTGAAATAAGTAGGCGCTATTTTGCGATAAAGGTCGCATCGTGATTCAAGAAAAGAAAATCGCAGTACTTGCGATATATCATAAAATTGCACGTTCCTAGATGCTACCAGAATCCAGTATAAATATGTCCACGGTTGCTCGCCGTCAAGTTCTCGCAGCAGTTTCGGTCACGGCGAACACACCGTCCAACGTAGTCGCGAAAATACGTCGCGAAAAATTCCCTTGCGACGGCAAGGGAGGTTTTTTCGCGGCGTACCGGTCGCGGGGTGGCGCCAGTTTGCGGAATAATGCCGTGTTCTCTCTCTTTCTCTCTCTTTTTCTCTCTCTGCGTAAAGTACCGTCTAAAAAATTCACACGCCAGGATATGACTCGCGCTTACATTTGACGTAGCCGTGCAATTTGCAGCAACGAGGACGGCCGACCGTTTTCTCGCGGTGCGATGTGTGTTTATCGGTAATCGTGGTAAAGGGCCGGGAAGAAGAGGGCGACGAGAAAGAGCCCGAATTTATTATCGCGAGTGCACTTTCGACTCTCTGTCGCGATTTACGTCGCGACCGGCAGCGTGCACCTTTAAGTTCGTTAACGTTCAACCGACGCTAGTAGGACTACGCTTTTGCCCGGTGTATTTTCGAGAGGCAATTTCCTTGCGATTGGTTCAGAATGGTTCCATTACACAAGGATATCGATGCGGCTCGGTACCGCGCGCGCGATGGAATACTGCCGCCGCGCGCGAAATTCGATCCGCGCGTCCCGTTGTCGCATGCACTTCCACACTCGCGCGATCCGCACAATTGCCAGGGACACGGCGAGCGTACGCGTCCATGAAGACGATCTACGTACAATGAATGCCGTTGTTATCCGTGCGTTAATTCCATGCGTTAATCCGCATCGTACCAGTCGCTTTCTCTGTTGGAAAAATGATTCGAATGACGTAAACGCGGAGTTTTACACCTTTCGCAGGAAGACACGCTGTCGCGAAATGGCCGACTGAGAGAAATTGAAAAGAGAGTGAGAGAGAGAGAGAGAGCAGTGCATTGGAATGAAGTTGTCGTCGTCGGCATTTATTTCTGCACTGTGCTTGTCGAGAATCTTGTCGAAGTGAGAAGAGATGAGAATATTCCGTGGGTATTGAAATTAAAGTTGCTTGATTACTTTCTTAACTATCGGATGCTCTTACAACCGATTCTCCGGCGGCGCGTGCACCTAAAGACTGCCCGGGGGCAGTAACTTCTCGGCGTTACACGCGTTTACACAAACATTAGCGCGCCGTATTAACCATAACGTATTATTTTCCACCGTGGTGTAAGTCAGAGTCGCGCGCGCTGGAAACCGTTATACGCTGCGTTATAGCCATAACGCGGATTTATGACGCGTACAAGGCAGCCTCCCCGCCCTGCAATATTTGCAGCGAATTTGTCATTTCGCCATGCGGTTATTACTTTCTTGTTGCTGTTGTTGTCGCGACGGACACAATGGCAGGCCGCCTAAACCAAGAAAAACGAACTCTAAACATGCTAGCTTCGAAGCGGGAAAAGCGGATAATACGCGGCCACTGCCGGAGATAAATGGAGAAATTATTTCGGATATAATAGCGCGTGTGTAGCGCGCGCCCGGGCTCGTTGCGTGCATTTCGCAATACGAGGGAATGATTACTCTCGGCGTCTATCGCGCGGGGGATATTTTGCTTAATATCCGATGCTGGCTGGTTTTAGGGTGTGCTCGGGAATTCCGCTTGTTTTACGTAATCACAATGGTACACTGACAGAAAAGCGTTTGGCACCTGTGACTTTGAAAGTATGGTGAGAAATAATTGTAGTCAGAAGATTTATTTTTATAGCAGGTGTTATTGTGATGTCAACGATAATAAAAGTATAGGCATATATACTGTTACTTTCTCGTTAGGCCAACAAAAAGATATGATTGGAACCTAAAATGTGACCGTAACTTGTGATGAGATCAATAATTTTTACTCTCAATGTACACGAGGGAAATATCGTAGCAAAAATTACGTTGAAATTATATTTATTTTTCCAACTTTTTGGAATGTTGGACGAAATTGTAGTATAAATTACGATAGAAATAAGAAATTTCACGACTTGATATGGATATACATATGGATATAAATAACATTCAAGTAATTACAATAATTTTGTAGGAGGATGTCGCATGTATATACATGTGTGGGCAGAATTTTATAATAAAAACTATTTATAGCATTTTTTAAGTGAAAGAAAGAGATCGAAATTCTTAAATAACTTCTTTCTTTTCGAATGTGCTACTTATCTTTTAGCAACTGATATGTACTATTAAAACACTTGCTATATTTCTAGCAAAATTTACTATGTTTTTTGGCAAGATAAATCTTACTAACAGTCTATTTCTAAACTACTAGAAACATAGTAAAATTAAAAAGAATTTATATGAAAAAATATTCTCTCCTTGTATAACATTTTTAGGCAAATATATGACATAATATAAAAAAAGCTATAATATTCTTTCTGTGTAACATTTCTAGACAAATACATAATAATTTCGGTCATAATTTTGGTCCAAAGTTACAAAAATTTTTATGTAATTTTTACTATAACATTTTCTCCGTGTAGTAGCAGTCTTTTCATCGATAATACCACCGGCTGACTACATGCTCGACTGAAACCACTAAAATATTCCGAAATATTTCAGCTGATGAAGAGCGTGCTTAAATTTGAAGGGACGCGCGAACTCGGGTTTGTGCCTTTAATCGTCACGTTTGAATTTCGATCGCGCGTGACCGAGGACATTATCAACAAAAGCACTTTGCTAAGGGGCTCCCGCAATTTTGCACGTGAGTATACGTGACACCGACTTTACGCGGAGTCGAGAATATGGGACCGTCTTTTACATGAGCGCCTATTACAGACGCCGCACTCGTAGTCTGGTATCGCCTTAGGAGATTGCAGGATCAACTTGAAATCTAATGGGGTCTCAACCTACGTTATACTAAAGCGGGGTTGTAGCAGCAAATCGGCCGTCACATCTCCCGCATTCGCTGCAAACTTGATTAGAAATGATAAAATATACATTCGCCGGCGCGCAACACGCCGCTAATCCCCGGTGTTATTAATGACGGCCCGCGCGCGTTCTCGCGGAACGGAACTTTTGCCTGTTCGCGCGAAGCGAAACGTTATTATCAACGGAATAATGATTCCTGGACTTCGAAGGCGGGACTTT